TGATCAAAAGACGTGTTCAATGGCATTAAAACGAGAAAAAAGGCGGCTGAATCGGTTGATCCATAGGTTAATAATCTATCTGTGGCTTTGAAGCAATTGTTTATAATCCATAATTCCATTTTTATGTAAAAATCGGAGCACAAAAGTTAGCTAGGTATGCAGCTTCCGGTTTTGGCTACGCGTCACTCTCACTCCTTATTTATTCATGTGTTGGTGTGCGGAGAACTTCCCCTCGATTCCATTGGCTCTAGCGGTTATAAAGAGATTTCATTCGTCAAAATCGACCAAGGGGGGCCAGAGATATGGAAAATCCACCCAAATGACCCCAGAAGTGTTTTTTGTTGCTAAATCTCTCTAAAAAGGTCAAATGTCACTTGTTTTGCATCAATCTTGATACAGGGTACTTATTATATGTTGTACTTTGGATTCCTAAAGCTTGTAGTCTACTAACCCATCATCCAAGGGTAGTTTTCACTATAAGTAAAAAATAATTTTTGGACGGACACTATAATTTACAGTTATGTTCAATCTGAATTTTCTTTAAAATAAAAAACATCTATATTGATTTTGACTTTTCTACATCCAACTCACAGGTTTATCATTACTTTGAGAACAAAGATTATTAATTTAACCCTTTTAGAAGAGAAGATATGCTCATTTGTTCTGGGAATGTCATTTTCGAGCCTGAGACCTGAAAAACAGGCTCAGTGCTTAAGGCGAGACACCCCAGGTGAATAGGGTAATTTTTTTAACTTAAAGGTATCAGCTAGAAATTTCTCCAGTTAATTACTTACAATAAGGCAATTGTCTTTTGTATTACAAGTTTTCTGAAATAGCATGTTTAAATATGCAAATTATCCATGATCTCATTAAATATGCACATATTTTAACTAGGGCCGGGACTTTAACGCGTTAATTAAGATTAATTAATTACACAAAAATTAACGCGTTAAAAAAATTAACGCATTTTAATCGCACTTATTTTTGCACCGCGGAACGTTTCTCACTGGATGAGTTTCAGGCGTACCGATTATACTGGAGCACCAACTAACGTTCATGACTTCAGACAACAACAAACCACAGTGAACAACAGTGGGAAATGTTGTTTTAAAAAAACGGACGGATGGAAGCGTCGATAAGAGCACGGTTGTGTGCAAATTATGCAAAAAGGAATTCGCATATCACCGCAGCACATCAAGCCTCAAGTATCACCTCAATGCAAAACATATAGCAGCTAGCGTGGAAGCGTGGACGTTAGCCTCTTTTATCGCGTTCACACCAAAAAGAGCCGGTACTAAAATTAGTTCATGAGAACCTTTTTACCCCCACGAAAGTCCCTGCTAGAGAGCAGGGACTTTCGTGCGGCTCTCTTGTGAGAAAAGAGCTATATTTCTGATTGGCTGGGCGGATTGCAAACCACGCCCCGTAAAACTCCCAAAAAGTTTTGTGAAGCCGCCATTTTATTATCCTCGCATTAGCATTATTAGCATTAGCCCAGCGCAGAAACGCAGAGAGACTAACTTATGGCAACACAAAATAAAACATGGGAGCGGTGGAGATGAGGAGGTGTCGGCGTTCTGGCGATTTACTCAGAAGGCTTCAGTAGAAGCTGCTGGGAGTCCCAGCAGCTTCTACTGAAGCCAGTCCCCAACTCCGGGGACTTCCGGCCGGGGACTTTGGGCGGCAGTATACGCCGGGAAGTGGTTTGCGGCCTGCCAGTAAACCCAAAGCAGAAGAAGAAGAAGTGACGTCAGCGGCTTCATTTGCCTAATCCACCCCCAGGTTCAAAGAGTTCTCATGAACTAAATTCTCATGAACCTTTGTGGGAAAAGTACTGCGGTGTGAATGCGCCTAATGGTATACTAAAATCCATGTGAAAAAAAATTGCTTCTCACTGTTCTTAGGTCAAATATGTATATGCGATTAAAAATGCGATTAATTTCGATTAATTAATTACAAAGCCTCTAATTAATTAGATTAATTTTTTTAATCGACTCCCGGCCCTAATTTTAACACATTTCAGGAATCGAAATCTGAACTTTGGATATAGCCAGATTCAAAATTCTTGTTTCATTTTGTAGTCATATTAGTATCTAAGGCTTTTACAGAAGGGATATTGGATATCTCTTTTTATCACTCCATAAATCAGAAAATACTGTCGTCAGCCCTAAAATATCCATTTTCGCCATGTTTTTAGGTATACAATGTTGTATAATTCAGGCTATGAATTATATATGAACAAACCCTTCAGTAAAAGCCTTCATAATATTGATAGGAATATAACTGGAAGGTTTGGTGTATGTACGTGCTACTGAAGTTGAAATTTCGAACTCAGAGTAGGAGAAAAAACTCATTTTGAGAAAACGACCTTTAAAGATTGCAGTGAGGCGCTAGCTAAACCCTCCTGTTCTTTGGATGACAGCTTGCGCATCGACGCACTCCGTGAAGGTATTTCATGTTCAGGGTCATTTTTTTTTTTTATAACCTTGCTTCGTGCAAGTGACAATTGTTGTCGTCTTCTCTGTGAACGTTTTTTTCGCCGTTCTTTTGGCATTTTGAGATTTCAATTTCTAGCTGAAAGCTAACCAGGAAGTGTTTTAGCACACCACGTGACGCATCTGAACGAATCACGTTTTCAGAAATTGACACCAGCCAATGAGATTTCGTTTCTTGGTTTAAGACCCCTTTGTGCTTTCACGATTGGTTGCTGATACAAAGGAAATGACCATATTTGGATCCGATGAGATTGTGCAGGAGAGACGGAGCTTTCCAGCGATACCTCTGTTGACATGGTGCACACAGCGGTCGCGGTACTTTATATTACGTTAGAATGCTAACTTTTGGTGAATTTAGGAGAAATCTACAGACGCAAATAGACAAACTATAGTAAAATAAACACTTAAATGTGTATTTTGTACGTTTTCCTTCCAAAAGCCTGAAAGAAAACATGTTATGGAATCAAAATAGCACAAAATCTCAAAATTGACCAGTACTTGAAAAACGATGTTTTTGCCTGCCGTGTCTCGCCTTAAGTAGGTGAATTAACTCAAACACGTAATTTAACAATTATTTTGCTGCTTGCTACAAAAAGAAAACTTGCACGGCTCTCATGTCAGGGGTACTTGAGTGAGTGACATGCAGGCTCTGCATGCACAGCAAACCACCAATCACAATCATTCTTGATCAGATCACAGCAGGCCCCGCCCCGCTAGTTTGCAGACCATCAAAACACCGGTAAAAAATGAGCGAGAAACAGGAGGACAATACCTTCATCCGGTTAAATATAGTTAAAAAAAAAACGGAATATATATCGCAGGGGGGGAAAAATCGCAATGTCAGTTTTTTTCAATATCGTGCAGCCCTAGTGTGGGCTTCGTGCAGCCCTAGTGTGGGCTTCGTGCACACAGTTTTGCACCAGAGTGAAGCTGTCTCTAGGTCTGACTTCTAGAAACGGAAATGCAGGTTTATTGCTTATGGATTATCAGAAATCATTTCAAAGGGACAAAGACACATTGGATTAACCTATGGATTAACTTCAGCAGCGTGTTTATCGTTTTAATGCCATTGAAGACCACTTTTGACCAGACTACGACACAGGTGAGCCATGTTAGCGTTTTTAGCTACCTAGCGCCACATGTTTTGATGTCTTGCCTTGTTATTATCTCCGCGAGTTCATATAATTGAGTGATAATGAGGGTACCCTTCGATTCTGTGTCACCTCACGATGTGAAACGATGGGTTGGATGTGCAGCAAAGATAAATAATAAGGTTTTGAGAGTGAATTTCGGTGCAGTCATCCGTTAGCATTTTTCGCTCGTTGCCAATTCAGAGGCTCAGCGTTAGAATTGTGGTTTTTTTTTGGAAAAAAATGTTTAAATGATCAGTTAGATGAGTTTCTTTCCGTTACATGGATATAAAACATTCATAGTTTATTCAATGAACATGCCCTCAGACACTGTTTCCTGCAAGATGTTGCGGCAGTGCCCCGGTACCGGGGTCTCTCGGGCTTAACAGGTTAAGAGTGTTGGTCTCCTGCACACAGAGATATTAAAGGTGGAAGTGTTTCTTTCTCCTTAAGCCGCCTCATGTCACTGTTTTGAAAAAACCCATAGTCTCTCCATTTGGCTGAAAGCCCAGCTGGCAGCACAGCCATGTCAACTGTGTTGTTGAGTAACAGTTTAATGAATGAGTCTGTGTTGCTGCTGAAGTGCCCTGTAGTGAAGTTAGTAGTGACAGAATGAAATGGTGAGTATGTTTTTTTCAACCTGAGGGTCGCGTTAAAGATTTAAAGGGAGATAATGAGTCCTTGATTATTATTTAAGATATAGGATTAGGGCGTGCTGAAGACCTCAACACAAGCTATGTTCTAGCTAAAGATCTAAAATAACAACAGTCATCAGAAGAGAGACAAAAACACTGTCAAAAAGAAGCATATTAAATATACAGGATTTAAAAATAAAATGTAAAAACAGAAGTATTGTGTGTTTGAAATCAAGAAACTCTTCATAAATAGGATTTTGATTCAGACCCAAACTCCAATTCTAATACATTTAATATATCTCAAAATCAACATTACCGTGCTAATATCTACAAGTTGCATACCAGAAAGAGAATTTGGAGTATTCTATCAGTTCGGCATGTGTCATCTAAGTCCAATAGCATTAGCATATTCATTCAATATTTAAATAAAACAACTATTGACAACAGCACCAAGAACAGAGTGTGGATACTAGAAAAGGTGATACTTGAAAATAAAAGAGCTTTCTATTTAAAGCAGTGTTTCCCGTACATTGATTTATTTGTGGCGGGCCGCCACAATTAAATATCGTCCGCCACAAATAGATCTCATAAAAAAATTATTATTTTTATTTACTTTTATTTTGGTGGTCTAATCTAATGGATAGTGAGGTGGGCTGATTATCGGAAGGTTGCAAGTTCAAATCCCGCCTGGAACACCACTACTAGTGTGCCTTTGAGTAAGGCACTTAGCCCTCCCCAGATAGCAAAAGATATTAATTCAACATTGGATTTTGGTTAGATTGGTTATTTTTGGTTGAGGTTGAAAAATCAATGTTGATTCGATGTGTTTTTACAAATACCATTTCAACGTTTGAAAAAATGTTGTTGAATCAATGTAATATAGATGCCGGTTTTTCAACGTTGAAATTCCCTACATTGAATTGACATTGTTTCAACGTGTGGCGCTATCCCCTCTCGGGCGAGATCCTGACCCAGCGTCGGAGGCGGGGTCTGGTTCTTTCCTATGAGAGCTGCTGTGCATGAAGACAAAATGGCCCAAGTTTTGAGAGAGCGAAACGTCACAGATTACCCGTCATGCCTGTTGCACATTGCACTTAATCTTGAAAGCACGTTGGTCACGTGAAAGAGCGTAAGAGGGTGTGGAGGAAGGCAGGCAGTTCAGTTGCCGCCAAGCCGCCTGAAGAGAAGAGACAGATATCACAAATCGGTAAGAAATGTAACGTGACCGTTGTGCATGCCTACTCTATATGTTCACCTCAGTTACACCCTGTTATGTTTTTTTAGGCTATTCAGAGCGCAAAAGTGGGAACTAATTACTTATAATAATATATATCATCAACGAATTTAACGTCGTTCATCCCATGACGCAGTTGATATTTTATTGCCCTGACTAGCACCTAGCTAACGCAGCGCTAGCTAACATAATCTGACATTAAACTCTACCATCCTACAGAAATTACATAAAGTGTCCACTGATGCAGTCAAGCTAAAGCATTATTTAGGATATTTGGGTGAAATTGTGCATATTTTTTGTTATAATATAGCCTATATCATAAATTAATTAAACAGTTCATCGCATGACGCAGTTGATATTTTATTGCCCTGACTAGCACCTAGCTAACGCAGCGCTAGCTAACATAATCTGACATTAAACTCTACCATCCTACAGAAATTACATAAAGTGTCCACTGATGCAGTCAAGCTAAAGCATTATTTAGGATATTTGGGTGAAATTGTGCATATTTTTTTGTTATAATATAGCCTATATCATAAATTAATTAAACAGTTCATCGCATGACGCAGTTGATATTTTCTTGCCCTGGCTAGCACCTAGCTAACGCAGCAGATACACTAGCTAACACAATCTGACATTAAACTCTACCATCCTACTAGGGATGCCAGCGATTAATCTATTATTCGTTACAGTCTCCATAATCGAAGATTATTTTTAAAATTCGATTTTATTTATATATTTTTTTTATTATTTATGTTTTTTTTTTTTTTTTTCTGGCTTAGTTTCAACCAAAATATAGACTAATAATAGTAATAGTATTAATAATTGTAAATGGCCATTGGTCACAACACCAGTTTTGACTGTAAAACTTGGAGGAAGCCAGCAGCGCAGGCTGCCCTGCGCAGACTGCTGCTGCAGCTTGCTACAACACCGACCCCCGCCGATTTTGATCATGGTCAGTTTCTGGCATCCCTACATCCTACAGAAATTACATCAAAGTTGGGTCTGATACAGTCAAGCTAAAGCATCATATAGGATATTTGGGTAAAATGTATGTCCTAGGGGTCCTGGACTCCTGGTTGAAGACCCATGGAATAAAACGTGTAATTCTAGGGAATTTCGTCAGTACAGTTATATTTGCATTGCACCAGGAGGCTGATATATATTTGTACTGTTAGTTTATGCATACTGATTTTTAATCTGCTTTGTTTTCCTCCATTTTCAGGATTATACTACAAGACGAGTCAAGGGGATCACTGCAATACACAAGGCCAAGTAAAGTAATTATAGCAGTGCCACCTCTCTTTACCTAAGATGGCTTCTTATTGGTCTAAAAGACGTAGAGTCATCAGAACTGTAAGGGACATGGAGAAAGATATCCTTAAGGAATACGAGGAAACTCTTTATAATAACAAGTCACATTTAGACCCCTGTGTGAATAGGGAACCACCCTTCAGAATCTCACACGTTTCCCAACTAGATACACCACTAGCTTCCCATGTACACATGGAAAATGATCATACTGATGGTAGTTTAGCTGGAGATGATGAAGTTGAATCAGATCATGTACAAATGGGAAATGATCATACTGATGGTAGTGTGGCTGGGAATGTTGAATCAGATTCTGACTCCGACAGCCATGACGAGCATCAGCCTAGTCAGGATCTGCTTATGAGGAGCCTAAGATATTGGGCAACATCCTACTCAATCAATCTGGTTGCTTTGTCTGCTCTGCTGTCCATCTTAAAGCTTTTTCACCCTATGCTCCCTAAGGATGGAAGAACTCTGCTTAGAACACAACATGATGTTGCAACCACTCAAATGCAAGGTGGCGAGTACTACCATTTTGGATTGGTGCAAGGGATACTTTCACGATTGAAATGTTTGAGTTTACCAGTGAGCCTCAGAACTCTTACTTTACAGTTCAACATAGATGGTCTCCCTCTCTTTAAGAGTTCAAGACTTCAATTCTGGCCTATACTTGCAATTCTGAAATGTGATTATACTAAGTCCCCATTTATTGTCGGTATCTTTTGTGCTTTAAGCAAGCCCAAGTGTGTTGTTGAGTATCTGCAGCAATTTATTAGCGACCTTAAAAATGTACTGGCTAATGGCGTTGTTCATAATGGTAACCGATTGAAAGTACTGGTTTCCTCATTTGTGTGTGATGCTCCAGCCAGAGCCTACGTTAAGAATATCAAGTCACATAATGGCTATTCAGGGTGTGACAAGTGTGATCAACATGGTGTGTGGAGGAAGAAAATGACTTATCCTGAAACAAATGTCAGGCTCAGGACAGACTCAAGTTATTGTGATATGATTGATGAAGAACATCACTTGAAACAGACACTCAGTCCTTTAACAGGGACAGTAAAGATGGTTTCTTCATTCCCAATAGATTATATGGCACCTCTGTTGTCTTGGTGTGATGAGAAAACTGTTGAATATGTGGTTAAAGGGCAATCTAGCCACTAGGCTTCCTTCACAAACTGTTAACAGTATATCAAGCAAACTGCTGGGGTTACATTCCCACACCCCTTGTGAATTCAATCGCAAGCCAAGGGGTTTGAATGAGCTGGATCGTTGGAAAGCTACAGAGCTCCGATCCTTCATACTGTACTGGGGCCCTGTAGTTCTGAAGGATTGCCTTCCCAGTGAGATTTATGACAACTTTATGTTGTTTTCAGTGGCCATGTATTTGTT